AGCCTGCTCGTCCACCTGCTCTTCCTCCTGCTCCTCCTCGGGCTCTGGTGTGCTGCTGCTGCTGCTGCAGGCTGAGGCGGTGGCGCCCTAGGCCTCCTCCGGCCGCCCTCCTCCTCCTCCCCTGAGGTGGTGCTGACCCCCAAGCTTCACCTGAGGGCCCTGGTGTATTGCCCCCCATGTCGTAAAGCGACCTGACCGCCCGCAAAGCTCTGCGGCCCGCCATCTTTGCACAATCACCTACAAGACATAAACAATAAGATCAGATTAGATGGATCATAAACAAGACATTATTATAAAGAGATGCAAAATAAATAAAGCATAATTAAAAAATAACATAATATTACATGTATTAGAAATAATCATCCCCATCGGGATTAGCTGGATCATAGCTCTCATCATCACTATCAGCCATGTCGAAATGTTCAACACTTTCCAAAGGAGCAACTATGTCATCATTGCCATTGCCAATATGTAATCCTTCAAGTAACGCCAAGTCCTTCACATTTTCCACCTCATCCCCCTCGTCCACATCAACATCCATTTCATTGTCTACTTCCATTTCCATAGCTCCGGTTAAGTCAATCTCAAAAGTCCCTTGTAGGCCCTCTTCTTGATAGAACTCTCCATCATATGTGTTTGGGTCGAAGTTGTAGTCTTCGGCGTTTGGGGAAGGTGTTTTACCATGCGGCGATACCTTGTGCACAATATCCCAACCCTGAAGACGAGGGTCCCTTTGGCACGAGTAGGGGAGATAATAAACTTGTGTGGCCTGTTGAGCCATAATATAGACATCCTTTCCGCCATAGACGGAATCCTGTCGGATTTCTACTAGCCCAAGGGAAGGACTTCGTCTCGTTTCTTGAGGATCAAACCAATGGCATTTGAATACGACAAGGTTAAGAGGTTTGCGACCACGAAACCTAAGTTTGTATATTTCTTCAATTCTTCCATAATACTCGGCCCATCAAGGCCGCCAGTAAAAACTCTGGAATTCGTGGTTCTTCGATTGGGCCGCTCGCTTTCGTGTCTTGTTGTGTGAAATCGGTATCCATTCACATCATAACTAGAAAAAATGACTTGACCCTATGTTCAAAGCCATTGGCAACTTTGTCTCAACTCTAGATTCATAGTCAAATCGGTTTGGCTCTGCAAGGTCAAGGAGGATAGATCGTTAAATTGGAATGTACAAGCAACTGGGATGTCAATCGGCGAACGAGCTAAATTGCATAGTACCTTTTGTTTGAACCAAGAAATAAAATTGGAGATTCCATTTCCCGCACCCTGATGAAGAATGGTGTCACGTTCTTGCGGGGTAGGTTCCCTTGATAGATGCCAGTTCTCATTAATAAACTCCCTGTAACAACGAGAAACAAGGAGGTTGGATGCAGAATGTTGACGGCATATTTAATTAACAAGTTCGTGCAAGAAGCCACTTACTGCATATACGGCTCCATTTCGGTAAGATTGGTGAACACATATATAATGATTGTGAGCCACTCTTCGTTTTTCAACAACAATGAGGTCGCATCACTCGCACTTCCAAGTTGCCCTTGGAAAATGCTGAGTTTTGATTCATTTTCACCAGCATTGTAACGAGGGGGTCGATTATGCACGCTAGGAAGCTTGTCACCATAGTATGCTTGTGTGAAGTTAGTAACCTCCTCTAGAACGAATGCCTCCACCATGGAAGCCTCGATTTTGCATTTGTTTCTGCATTTCTTCCGAAGAACCTTTAGACATCTCTCGATTGGATAGCACCAACGGGCCTGCACGGGCGCCCCCATTCGTGCCTCATACGGGAGGTGCAGAATCAAATGCTGCATCGGGTTGAAGAAGCCGGGTGGAAAGATCATCTCCAACTTACAGAGCAACACAGGTGCTATTTTTTCCAATTCTGCAACCACGCTACGAGATAACTCCTTGGCACAAAGCTGGCGGAAGAAATAGCTCAACTCGGCTAGCGTCTTCCACACATGCTCAGGGACATAGCCTCGGAGCATCGCCGGAAGAAGACACTCAATCCATATGTGATAGTCATGACTCTTCAGGCCGTTGATTCGCAAGGTAGATAAGTTCACTCCCCTCCTCAGATTCATTGCATACCCATCAGGGAACATTAAAGTTTTGAACCATTCTAATACTTCTCTCTTTTGTTCCGGTTTCAATCTGTAATCGGCCTTAGGCCTTGTCCATTTCTTGCCGCTTCTAGGAGGTTGCATGTGTTGCTTTGGTCTATCACATATCGTTGCCAGGTCCAGTCTCGCCTTTACATTGTCCTTCGTCTTATCCTTAATGTCCATGATCGTTGCCCAAAGCGCCTCGACAACATTCTTCTCGGTGTGCATTACATCAATGTTGTGTAGAAGAAGAATGTCATTATAATAGGGGAGCATCATCAAGGGCGACTTATAAGTCCACATATGCTCCTCACCATATGCCACGAACCTACCATCTTTTTCATTGATCCGGAGAGCATCTATCTGATCATGAACCTCAGCACCGGTCATCATCTGTGGTGCGGGGTCTGTAACCATGACACCTTTAGTAAAGTTCTTGATGTCTCGTCTAAATGGATGCTCAGCAGGGAGGAATTATCGATGTTTGTCGAACACGGAATATTTGCCGCCCTTCTGCAGCCAATTGAACTGCAGAGCTGCCTTGCACAAGGGGCATGGAAACTTCCTGTGAACACACCAAGCGCTGAATATCCCATATGCTAGGAAGTCATGCATGGAGTATTGATACCAAACATGCATGTTGAAGTTTGTCTTTGTAGCTCGATCGTATGTCCATACACCATGGTCCCAAGCATGGACCAGTTCATCGAACAAAGGCTCCATGAACACACCCATGTTATTCCCAGGGTGTTCTGGAATTATCAACGGCAAGAACACATTCTGTCGTTGGAAGGAGACGCCATGGGGGAGATTGAGAGGGATAACAAACATGGGCCAACAAGTGTATGGGACAGCCATCATTCCATAAGGATTGAACCCATCTGTTGCCAGTGCAACACGCACATTACGTGCCTCCCCACTTTTGTTACGATGAATGTTATCAAAGTGATGCCATGCTTCACCATCGGCTGGATGTACCATCTTCTCAGGACTGTATCTTTTTCCATTTTTGTGCCATATCATCTGTTTCGCGGACTCCTCTATCATGAATAGCCGTTGGATCCTCGATATGAATGGAAGGTACCGTAGGATTTTCACGGGGTACGGACTCTGCCTCTTCTCACCATCACCAGAGTCTACCTCCAGATACCTAGAGGATTTACACTTTGGACAGTACTTTGCATCCGCGTGTGCTTTTCTAAAGAGGACGCAGCCCTTCGGACAAGCATGTATCTGCTCATACGGCATCTTAAGTGCACGAAGGACCTTCTGCGATTCGTACATGTTCTGTGGCAGAAGGTGACCGGCCGGAAGGATGGAGCCAATAACTGTCAACATTTCATCAAAGTTCTCTCGACTGAGGTTGAACTGGGACTTTAAGGCCATTAAGCGTGAAATGCCATCAAGCTTTGAAATCTGTGTGTGGCCATGAAGGGGTTTCCCTGCCGCAGACAACATGTCGTAATACGCCTTTGCGCTTGCCTCTGGCTCCTCCTCCTGCTGCCTACGTCCGTCAGCGAAGTGTGCTTCGTGAAAGTCATCTAACCAAGCTGCTACCCCGGCATCAGCATTGTAATCCTCGACACGTGGTCTCACCACCTCCTCTCTCACACGATCGGCTTCACCGTGGTGGGTCCACTGGGTATAGTTTTTCGTAAATCCATGCCTAGCCAGATGTGAAGTCATCACCTCCTTTGTCTGCCTCTTTCTGTTCTTACAGTTGATGCAGGGACAAAAAACGGCACGCGCTCCGGGAGCCTGGTCAAATACTTGCTTGATGAAAGCCTCGGTCTTGTCGACCCATTCTCTGGTAATCTCACGGGCGCTCCGGCGGCCCGAGTACATCCACTCACGGTCATCCATCCTCTAACATATATATCACCAAGTAATAAATATAACCATGGACTTGCTTCTACACGTCGTTCCTACCATCTAATAGGTAAGGATAGGTCCTAATCCCACCCGAGGATGCGTAGATGGTGTTAGTTCCCATGGTCTGGTCCTATCCGAAACAGAATTTCGGCAACACCTCCCCGCTGTTCTCCAAATACACGTCCCGACAGGGAGATTGTGTATCCGGAGAACAACAGGAAGGTACTGTTGAAACTCTGTCTCGGATCGGAGCAGACCATGGAAACTAACACCATCTGCGCATCCTCGGGCTGTCCAAAAAACGTGGACAATTCGAAACAGATACGGTTATTGATATGCAAAGATCTGCATATTTCTAACCGTATCTCTTTCGAACGGGAGACACCTAACTGGGTTACGTGGAGATACATGACCAGGACAAAGAAAGAGTGGTTATACCTTAGGTGGCGGTGAAGTCAGGCTAGCGGGGCCGTGGCGGGTCGGTGCAGTGGCGAGGCGACGCGGTGCGGGCAGACCTGGGGACACCGGGGTACTCCGACTCGGCTCCTGCAAAGAAAGAAAGAAGCAAAATAACGTCAACTCAAAAATTCGGCAGCATCTCCCCTGAACGGTGAGGTTTCCAAACCTGAAAGAAAACCACGGCACGATGGCCGACAACCACATATATATCAAGGAACCACATGCAGCTTAATTATCAACTACTACTACTCTAACTACTACAACTACTACTAATACCACTACTACAACTACTAACTACTACTAATACCACTACTAATACCACTACTACAACTACTAACTACTACTAACACTACTACAACTACTACTCTAACTAATACACTAGGTCTGCAGATGCATGCATGGTACACTAGATCAATATAGGTTGATCCCTATGCGTACCTTGCACTTCATATAACATATTCATTCTGATTCACATCGGTAAAAGAAAAAAAGATAGAACTAAACGAAAATGATAGGGCGGCAGGAACAGAAACAGTGTACTCCTACCTAGCTATGACGAATACACAGTTGAGTGGGGTATGTAAGTGAATTGGTATGGTTTTCAGCTATACTATTTCTTATTTTCCTGGCACACAGAAAGTTGATGAAATATGTTTATTGATGAAAATGCATATTTCTGAATATTATTAAAGTTTTAGCTTCCTGAAATGATATGGGGGCTAGATATCGATCCAAATATGTTTATTGATGAAAATGCGCTAATTGCTAATAGATGGGCTAATTTTTAGCTAAACCTTCAACCAGTTGTTAGCTAACTCTAGCTCTAGCTGATCCGAGTATGCCCTGTATCAGTTACCATACCTGCATTTCATCAGGAGCAGTTTTCTTTTATGTGGAAACTAATACATTTATGGACCCTACATTTATTCATTTGCAGATACCAGTCTGAAGCCCTGCTGCCACACACCATAAAGTAATTTCCCTGCTCTGATTGCACCATCTATAACCCAAAACATTCATGTATCAATGCTAATGTGCTGCGTTCCTGTTTCCTGCACGTTCTTCACTGTCCACTGCCCCAGTGCGGGAGAGAGACGCCTGCTGGGAGTACTGCGACAAGCTGGATGGAAACAAGGTCAGGTGCAGGTTCTGTCACAAGGTTCTCAACGGCGGCATCAGCAGGCTCAAGTTCCACCTGTCCCAGATCCCCAGCAAAGGGGTGAACCCTTGCACCAAGGTGAAGGAAGACGTCATTGACAAGGTGAAGGCCATCATCTCGGCCAAGGAAGAGTACAAGGAGTTCCAGCTTCTCAAGAGGCAGCGTGTAGCCGAACTAAAGCAAGAGGTCATCTTTGGATTAAGGTTTCAGAAACCGTTTGGCATAAACCAACACAGTAGGAAAGGAACACCACAAACCTTAAATCTCCCAACAAATAGTGCAACAAACACTAATCAAAATACAGGGGGGAAAATCCTTAGATCCAGCTATCCAAAGAGCAGAAAATTAACACACACACTGGATCAATGAGCGTCACTAACACATTTCTATGATTGAAAAATATTTTCCTGGTCCTTTAATTCAAAAAACACACTGTTGTATACTGACATAGTTCTTGCCATAATCAGGTTCTTGCAGAAGTTTTCAAATCAATCTTACTCTTAGTATAGCAATGATCGTACCAAAGTAAATCTTGAACAACAAATAGGAAAGCAGTACGAGGTCTATGTCAACTACTTTGAAGACCATAATTAGTAAACTGGAGCTAAATTATTTATCATATCATAGCATTTAACATGTAGGAGTAACATACAACTAGAAACACAAAACTCAACTCCTAAGCTAGATTCATCAAGTTCAGTTATGGAAATATTAGGTAAGAACAAGGATGAAGTCATAAAACAATGATGAGAAAGCATCAGTTGTTAATGTTATAAGTAGGCGTTCCTCCAAGATCAAAGGCACGAACAGCTCATATTCTCATAATCTGATATCAAAATGTTCATTGTGGAAATCGTCAATGCGTATAATCTGAACGCACAGAAATCGGAAGGAGTACAGGGGAAAAAACACCACCCTAATCCAGTGGCTAGCATTTTCAGGTTCTTGCCTCTGACAGTCTATTGTTCCACCTCCACCCCTCCTGACTCCTAAGGCGCACTCACCCCAGTTCATGCAGTGTGGGGAACTGGGGTTATCCATGGCGACCAAATTCCACAACAGAGGAAGAAAGAATAATCCATTACAAGGAAACGCGGTAATAGCTGTACCACGGTTAGGCGCGGGAGGGGAATGGTTTCAGCCTCCAGCAGCCGGGGGTTCGCGCAGGCCGCGACGGAAGAACAAGGCACCAGACCGCCGCAGTCGCTTAGGGAAAAAGGAGGAGTGAGGAAGAGTACTGACTCGGTGCCCTTCTGGCGGAGGATGCAGAACTGCTTGGGGGAGAGGACGGCGCGCCACTCCTCCTCGCTCCTCTGCATGCGGGGGCGGGACGAATGACTGCGTCGTTGGCGTGCGGGGGCGAGACGCCGGCGGTCGTGCGTGGCGGGGCTGGGGTGGGCCGGCCGCCGCCGCCGGCGCGCGCGGGCGGACGTGGCGGGATGGGGCGGGCTGGCCGGGCTGCGGCGGCGGCGAGGCTCGGGCGGAGCGGCGGCGGTAGCGCGTGCGGCCGGGCGTGGCGGGCTGTGGCTGCGGCGGGGCTGCGGCCGAAACAGTTCACCTTGCGGGGGTGCGCCGAAACGGTTAAGTGGTGAAGCCACTTTGCCGAGAGCCAGATCTGGGAGGCTCTCGGCAAACCTTCCCCCTTTGCCGAGAGCCCCCATATCCGGCTCTCGGTAAAGTTATTTTTTTTTTCAAATTTCGTTCAAATTTTTTAACTAGCTAACTGCACAAAAAATTATTAAAAAAAATAAAAATTATTATTTGCCGAGAGCAGCTCTCGGCAAACTGAACAAAAAATGATATTTCTAAAAAAAATTAAATCTGGAGAGCAGCTCTCGGCAAACCTCTTCGCCGAGAGCCAGCTCTCGGCAAACCATTGATCCAGGCCAGGTAAAAAAAAAGAAATCTGCGCCGAGAGCGGGCCTAGTTGCTCTCGGCAAAGAGCCTTTGCCGAGAGCAATCCCCTGAAGCTCTCGGCAAATAATAACCAAAAAACAATTAATAAACAGCAAACGGCTCCGGAAAAATACGAAATTTTGCCGTGTTACAACTTATGCTCTCTAATGGCTATAGAAAAAGTTTGGAACTCCAGAACTAATTCGACCGTGACATTGTTTGAAAATCCTAATGGATCCTTCTCAACTTTATGAAACTTATTCGGAGATGTCTCAGATTGTAAGAATCATACGCAACCACTTGTGCGAAACATTTTCAATTTTTTACCACAGCCTCCAAGTGTGATACCATGGCTTCATTGCAAATATCACAATTTTCCGACTTCGTTTCCTTTTTTAAGAATTTTTAAATCGTTAGGCGACATATGTTCGTGGTCTTGATTAAGTAAAATAAAAGGTGAAAAAAACGTCAACAAGATGTTATTTGCCCTCAATAATGCATAAATAGCATGAATATCATTTTCTACTTAATTTTTCCCGTGTTTAAATCAATCATTGTTCAAATTTTAATCAATTAAAAAACTCCTTGAAATGCAATTAATTAATTATATATAGCAAATAATTACAAAAATACACAAAATTTTAATATTGAGTACAACCTGTAGTATGTCTATAGAGAAAAAGTTTGGAGCATATGAAAGTAAAAATAATTTAATTGGAGAGAGTTAGGAGAAGAGAAACACATGCACATGAAATATAGAAACCACATTTGCCGAGAGCACGGAGGGCTCTCGGCAAATAGTTGCCGAGAGCGGCGCTTTCGGCAAAGAGTTTTGCCGAGAAGCGATAATGAGAGGGCTCTCGGCAAAGCGGTGACGCCGCGTCGAGGCAGGTCACGGCTATGGGCCCGCTTCAATGTTTTGCCGAGAGCCTGATTTTGCCGAGAGCGCGACCTACGGCAAGGACCGTTTGCCGACGGGCATTTTTTGTCGGCGCGGCTCTCGGCAAAACGCCCACTTCGCCGAGAGTTGTTGCTTGCCGAGATGCAGGCCCACGGCAATCCTCATCGCTTGCCGACGGCGGCGGTGTTTGCCGAGAGCGCGCAGCAAGCGTTTTCTTTGCCAAGAGCCCGCGTTTTTGCTCTCGGCAAAAATCTCAGATCTCGGCGAAGGACGTTTTTCCGGTAGTGCATCCAATAAGGTCTTGTATGGCTCAAGATAACAGGTCAGGTGAATCTAAAGTTGTGGGATAAAAAAAAGTTTGTAAAAGAATATCATGTACCTCATATCACTTCTAGTTGTTTATACACAATTTATGATCCATGTATGCACACTACCATTATGTGTCTAGATCCCTCGAAGACCTAACAACAAAACCTCTACTACTGTAAATATAATGAAGTCACTAAAGAGAATGGACGTAAAGTGCAGCTCCAAGAGCCATCGCTTCATCCGGTTTCCTCCGTATGTTAGGCTCCCTTCCATCAAAGTAATCCCTGACGAGGTTTTGAATCCTGGGTATCACGGCACTCCCACCGACCATAACAATCTCACCGATCTTGCTCTTGCTCCACTTTATACCACCTCTGTTCACCATGGCTGTTTCCACCAAGTTCATGACTTTGCGGAACAGATCATCATTCAGTTCCTCAAACTCCGACCGTGAGAGCGGCTCCGAGAAATCGACACCATCAACGAGGGACTCAACAATCACCTGGACATGATCTTGACTGCTCAATGCCTTCTTGGCATTCTCACATGCCGCCCTCAATTTGCCTAGACCGATCCTGTCCTGACTGATATCCACTCCGTGCTTCAGCTTGATGCGCTTGGCAAAGTAGTCCACGACCCTGTCGTCAAAATCGTCTCCTCCAAGGAAATTGTCCATCCGATACCCAAAGACTTGAAACCTGCCGTCCAGCAGCACCACAAGGCTCGCGTCGGACGAGCCGCCGCCGACACGCAAGACAAGCGCAGTGCCACGCTCGCGCAGCTTCGTGTGCAGGCCGTGAGCGACGGCAGCGGCGGTCGGCTCTGTGACCGTCCAGACGACGTCCAGCCCGGCCATCTTGCCGGCGTACTCAGCCGCCCCGCTGTGTGCCACGGCGAAATGCTGCGGGATGGTCATGACGGCGTACTCGACCGTGCGGCCGAGGTACTCCTCGGCCTTGTTCTTGAGCTCAGCCACTACCATGGACGCGACCTCGCTGAACTCGAGCTGCTTGACTGAACCATCGCTGGCCGTCACTTGGACGATCGCCGTGTCGTAATCTCTTGTACCGATCTTGTACGGCACGCGCTGGATGGCTCCCTGCACGATGTCCTCGTCGTACCAGCGGTTTCGCCTATTAACAGATCGAATAATGATACACACTAATCATGAATCCATCAATCAATTATATATAACCTAATATATATGTATTGTTTTTAGTGGAACGATATATACCTTAGCCCGAGCAAGCGTTTGAAACCGAAGATGGTGGCCTCGGGGTTGGCGGCGGCGTGGTTCTTGGCGGCCTCGCCGACGAGGGAAGTGCCGTTGTCGGTGAAGGCGACCCAGGAGGGGATGCAGAACTGGAACATGGTGTCGTCGTCGGTCGTCTTGCCGGAGCCGGTGTAGCCGGCGACGCAAGAGTTGGTGTTGCCTAGATCGATGACGACCACTTCTCCGCGCCGGTACCAGAACTCCCTCGGCCTACTGTCGGGGTACGTACTTGGGTCCTCGTCAAGGAGCATTTGGAGCCCGGGCGCCGTGGCCACCAGCACGCATACGAGGATGAGCACCGCCGGCAGAGTTACCGCCGGGCGGCGACCGCCAGCAGCCATTGCGACCAGAAGAATTACTAGGTCTCTTAGGTTTCGTTATCAGCTTTTTTTTTTTTGACACATCCGGTTAGGCCGAGTACGGTTTTGTTTGGAACATTGGATAGCAACATTGGTCGTGTCGTGTGTCCCTCGATCGGATCGGATCCGTTACGTAATACTGGACGACTCTGTTCAGCCAGCTCCGTGAGCAAGGGGCCCATGGCCAATACTCCGTTTGCAGATCAAATTAAGAGGGACGTGTTGACAGCCAAATATAATCGAGAGAGTAAAAGAACCAGAAAAACAAATTAAATTGAAGAAGATCAAATTTGGAACAATTGTACAAATTTCACCAGTTTCCTGAAACCGTCAAGGTAATTCTATTTCCCTGACGGTTTATTCAATAACCGTCAAAAAATTTAAAACCGTCAGGGAATTTCATGTTTCCATTAGTGTGAGCTGATTTCGATAGTCCAATATTTTTTCGAGTTTTTTTGTTGGGGACTCGCTCTATCTCGAAGGGTTAAACTTGTAAGTTCTAATACGACCATCCACCTCAATTTATATGACAGGATCATGGCTAATTGAGAAATCCATCTATCTCATCAATCAAAAAGGTTCAATCTACTACACTTTTTTTTACCCTCAAACTCTTACAACCTATTGTTGTCCAACATTTTTCTATACAACATTTACTAGAGTTCTAAATGGTCTTGCAGAACCTAGGACATCCCTGCTATGCTTTACCCTGATAAATCTTTGCGAGGTGGTTGTTCCGGGCGAAGAATGAGTGTCAGATCAGTCTCGCCAACACCCTAAGTCAGCATCACCATTTATACCTACCTCACCTGCATGTCTCAATCGTGTGCGGCCCTTGCAATCATGCATACTGTACATGTAACCGAATTACTGTCAACACTTTTTTTTATAACTACTGAAAACGAAAGGGAAAAATATTTTATCCCTATGTGGTTGTGTACAAACATCTTATATAGTTTTACTATTATATGGTTGTCCAAGAAAAGTGCGACGATACAAACAAGCTCAAGACACAAAGAAAGAGACAAGAAAAGGTATATATCTTATAGTATTTGTGATTTTTTTTTGTGAAACCATAGTATTTGTGATTTAGATGACAACACAAGTCTAAGACTAACACGAGTGAAAAGTGAGTTAGATTATACTAAGTCCTAGGAATGCAAGAGACGAAGTGGTGCAAAGATCGGCGGAGAAACGACGCAAACACCAATAACTGAACCACTTCACAGCCCTATTTAACACAAGGTAGATTGGTAGAAGGCACCGCACAATTAATCTGCCGAGAAGAAAATGGGCTGCGGCAGAACATCTAGTGATTATCAGTAAGGTGGCAAAAGGAAACTTGCACTCACCGAGTCACCGTCACGATATGGCAGAAAAAAATATAAGAGGCGTCCATAACGGACCTAAGCGAAATCGCTGGCTAATGTGGATGAACGAGAAATAAATTAGTATTGATCTGTAATCGTTCTCTCTATTGGATCCCACCTATTCATCTCTGTTTTTATCGAGCGATGTGAAATCGAATAATCGATCGGCGACTTACTAGGTACCAGTGAGTTTTCTCTTTCCACCTTTTTGGCTTCCACGTCGGACTCACAGCCAGCGACGTCACTACCCCCTTGGGACACCCTAAGCAGTAGATTGTCTCGTGAATGGAAAAAGGCAATGAGTCATCCAATGCTTATGATTTCGCAGCTTGTTTCCCTCTGACCAGTTGAGGTGAATGGGGTTATATATAAGGTTGTCTACACTGCATCCACCATTTTGTTCGCTTGAACTTATCATCCCTGCTTATTAGCCATGGTACACTGTTTTTCTAAAACAACAAAACAACATCAGCCGGCTTATCAACCGTAGAAATTAAACCATCAGCCGAACAACCCATTCAAAATTACATCCAAAATTAGGATAGACAATATTTTAATGCATCTTTGTTGAGAGTTAGTCCCTAGAGTTTGAGAGCTTTGAGTGATTGGGTCTTGATGCCCTTGTATCTTGACAATTCGAGTGCAAGTCTTCATGACCTTCCAAAGGAAGGTGAGGTAGCCTTCGAGTCGTCGACTCTCTCCATTCTTGGTGTGGAACGACAACGTGTTAGTGTGCAAAGGACAAGGAAGCATCTCTCCCTTAAATGGAGAAACCATGTAGTGGATACAACATCAAGGTGACCGCGACTAAGTGGATCTAGTGAGACTATGTGACTCACACCCGCCTTTGCTCTGTATTTGACACACCATGATCAATTTGGGTGACAGAGGTAGCAACTCGAGACTTGATGACTCACAATACTTTGGTTGGCGAAGGCCTTGTGTGATAGTCCAACACTATAGTAACCATCGGGTGGCATAGGGAGATTTTGTGACTCCATTGGTTTTGGTCGAGCGAACACATAATCGAGAGAGACTTATTGATTGGGAGCATGCCTCGATAGATCTCCAACATAGACTAAGGGTTGTGTTTTAGCAACCAATAGCACAGGATGCCAAGAGTTTATCCTCTCTATCCTTTGCTCTTTACTTATCATACTTGTGTAATATTTACCTTTGTAAGATTTAGTTATAGACTGGTTGTTAGGATTGGCTATATATGTTAATAAACTCTTTGTGGGTTGTTGGTAAGATAAAAGTGCACTAGAAAAACGTTAATTGCACGTCATACTAGAGTTAGAGTAGTTTATGGGTTCTCTAAGAGCATCTCCAAAGAGTGTTTCTAAAATTCACCTCTATCCTGAATATAAGGCGCGATTAGACTTGGTGAGGCCACCTATATATAATTTCTCTTATAATATATAATTTATAGGAACAAAAGTTTGATCATTACAAAACATTTCTAAATTCAAGGATCTAATGTAACTACTTTTGTAATACAAACTTTTGATATAATTAGGCTAATTATTAGTCAAAGATAACAAAGTTTTAATTTTGAAATACATGCATGCCTTCAGGGACCAATGGAGTAACTGAGATAGCAAGTATTTTGAGCTTCAAGGAACAACAAATAAGCATGTACCTGCTGAGCAGTCCTCCATATGAAATGTTGACCATTTGGAGATGATATGTCTATCCTTTCCATTGCACAGAATATATGTGGTACCTAGTTCAGGAGGTCCCCATCTTTCTTTCATATAACGGCAAAGGCAACAAGCCCCACTCTCATCACTTGCTGGAACTTGGTCAATTGCATATAGTAAAGCATTGCAGCATGTCTGTGAGGACGAGGATGGCTTCCATACACCGTTTGGTTGCATACATGATAACACGGCAACGCTTGTCAAGTCATAACGACATGTGCCCTCTTCAGATCTTTGTGTATCTGTGGCTGAATAGGCTCCAGATGATGATAGAAGCATTGTGAGCAGCAACACCCACAACCAAGACTTTTGGACTACCAATCAAAACAAAGCAAAAACATGTAATATCAGTATGTTTGTATTTTTTTAGAACACAATGTACTTAGCAATTGGAAAGGGCATGTAACTCAATGACAAAACTGAATGGAAGAATCAAAAGTAAAATAAACTTACGACCTTTTTAGCCATGCAATTTATTGTACAGTTTGAAAAGAATGAGGACATTAACAATGTATTGAATATATCCAATGCAAAAGGTAGTCCAATAAGAAAGAGCGAAACGTACAGCATGTGACATTGGCATTAGGAGTATTTATCTCTGCATCAACAACTGAAACCTTTCTGCGCCTCATTGCCTGCATTGTAGTGATTACTACTCCAAATCATTACACTCTGATGAACAGTAGCAGAAAGATTTACTATAAGATTCCTAGATTTTATGATCTCAAAAATACTGGAAGTTAAAACAAATTTCATCTGAAACTGAAGTTGATGTCACAGCACAATAGCACATACACCTTTTCTTAAAACTTGGCAGCTGTTGTTCCATTCATTTAAACAAACAAAGCATGCTCAAACAAGTTTAAGCACCAAATAAGATAGGGCAAAACCTCCACACAATATGACTATGCATATTTCTCAACATTTTCTTTGGCAAATGTGCATCACTAAAATAAAGGTAGATTAAGTAGCATTGGCAGATTAAAACTTCTTAGAATATAAAGATAGGAAAAAAAAGACAATCCCAGACATACCAGACATACCAGACAATCCCAATCTTTCTGCACCTGAGAAAACCGACCCAATCGTACGGAAATACAAGTGCGCATATCGATCTGCCAATATAGAGGTGTAGGACATGGTGAAAAATAAAGAGTAAGATACTTGAAAATATGTAAGAAAGAAAGAAAGTATAAAAATGGCTTCATAATTTTCAAGCTAAAACATTTTTTTTCTAAAATTCAGATTTCATTATTTTAATTGCATAACTTTTTTTAGAAAAGATATTGATCAAACAACTTTTTGTTAAAATGTATTTGTAGTCTGATTTCCCTCCTAAAGTACCAATGGATTCTGATTTACTTCCTCAATGGCTGACGTAGTGTCACGTAGGATGGTTGATGTGGTGCCATGTCGGACAGAACAGCCCCAAACTGTAAAAACAAATGATTTTTAAAGTTGAGGACGGAGGGCCAAAATCCAATTGCATATATGAGGGAGGAAAATCAAACTTTATAAATAGTTGAGGGGTTAAAAAGGATTGATTTATCCGTATAGGCAAGCAAATACTCTGTATGTTATGGGTACTCCCTTAGTTTTAAATTATAAATCACTTTAGTTTCACAAATGCATCGACTTATAATTGGAAGGGAGAGATCAGTCCTGATTATGAGTCCTATTTAAATATAAGCCGGCAATAAAATCCCCAGTCCCGACATGTACAAATGCATGACGATGCTGTGAGTAACAATAAAGCTAGGTTAGGTGGTGATACCGTTTCGCATGAAAGTGTGAGCATTGTCCAAATTAATTAAATTGCAGTTCATCGCCCTTACTACTAATTGAAGGGCACACTACATGCTCTTAGAGTGTAGCTTCTTGAAGCCCAAACATATGCAGCCTGCCGTGCACACTGCACACACTACCTTACAAGCAAATACTACTGATTTTTCCCGAAATGGAATTTATACCGGTGCTTGTCATGGTGTTGCTTGCTCTAAGCTATATGGTCGGACCGTGCAACTGCACTGGAGTATGCTCGCCAGCGACGTACGGTAATCTCTCTTCATTCATCTGCACTAGATTATATATGCCAACCTTGTCTTCATGATCCTTCATGTTTCTGTTTTCTTTTCATTTCTTTTTTATTTTTGTGATTGTTCATTTTGTCCATGGATGTAGTACATTGCAAATAGAGTTTACTCCTATATTTTCTTCATGTTTTTAAATTTTGATTTTGATCCTACACCCCCAATGGATGCATGCTCAGAGTCTCGGCAGAGGAAAGATGGCGCCTTCCACTTCCCTGTGTTCCACAGGAAGCACCCGTGTGTTGACGAAGACCCATCGACGATCCACGCAGCAAGCGTATCAGACGCAGGCACCGTGATTGGGAACGACAAGATCCATCAAGGCAAGTACTTCATGGCCATCAGGCTGGGCACCCCTGCCGTCTTCAACCTCGTCACCATCGACACCGGCTCCACCCTCTCCTGGGTCAACTGCAAGAGGTGTCGGATACGGTGCCACGAGCAGGCGCCCGAAGCTGGCCCCAAGCTGGACCCTCACCGCTCCGCCACGTACCGTCACGTCGGCTGCTCCGACGAGGACTGCCTCGACATCCAGGCCGACAACGGCGTCCCCTACGGCTGCGTCGACGAGACGGACACCTGCCTCTACGGCCTGCGCTACGGGTCGCAGTACTCGGCGGGGAAGCTCGGGAGGGACAGGCTCGCCCTGGGCGACAACTACACCATCGTCGACGACTTCGTCTTCGGGTGCAGCGAGGACGACATGTTCTACGGCCTCGAGGCGGGCGTCATCGGCCTCGGCGACAAGCGTTACTCCTTCTTCAACCAGATGGCACGGCTGACGACCTACAACGCCTTCGCCTACTGCTTTCCCGGCGACCACCGCGCCGAGGGGGTTTCTCATCGTCGGGCCGTACCCGCAGAAGCTGGAGCTCGTCACGACATTGATCAGGGGGTACGGGCGTAGGCAGCACGTCTACTCGGTTCTGTTGCTGGGCATCGCCGTCGACGGGAAGCCTCTGGAGGTCGACGGGCGCCAGATCCTGGTGGTCGACTCTGGGACCGATGACACCTTCGTCTCGTCCTCAGTTTTTTATGCTCTCGCCGAGGCGATAGCGTCGGCGATGCAAGATAAGGCGTATTACCGTGAGTACGGTCGGAAGGTCTGCTTCAGGCCTGCCGGCGGCGAGCCGGTGAACTGGAGGAGCTTGCCGACGGTGCAGATGCAGCTCCTAAGGGCTACGCTGGAACTGCCGCCGGAGAATGTGTTCCATCAGCAGTCAACTGATCGCATATGTTTGGCGTTCCAGTCGAATGACGCTGCTGGCGTGCCGGATGTTCAGATTCTAGGGAACAAAGCCCTGAGACCTTTCAGGGTTGTCTATGATCTGCAGAAGATGACCTTTGGCTTCCAAGCCCGGGCGTGTTGAAAGGAGTTGCCTCGGCCATGTACTATTTAAAAGAGATACTTCATATACCGTTCTTAGGCCCTCCGCGGTGTTAGTGTTAGCCTAAAGAAGCTGAGGTCTTGTTTGACACAGCTCAGTTTTACTAGTAAATAAGGTTTAAAATAGCCGGCGATAGCCGCTGGACAAAGTCACAGCTAAGATACGTCACTTTTAGCGCTAAGAAAAGTAAAACGCTAATAGCCCGAGATAGCTGGAGATTGCGGCTAATTGGGACAAACTTAGCTACCGCTAAACTATGTCAGGCCATGAAATTGACCAAGCGGCCCACTAAAACGTGTGCCACTGCCGGCCCATTGCTTTGCCCTTCCATCCAGCCCAGGAAAATAACGTAACCCTGGCATCTTCTCATATCTCTGACTCATCTCGTTAGCCCATTGCTTTGCCTATCCATGCACTACAGCTATACGAGATTTGTCATTCGATATATTGCTTCTTCTCTGTTTTTCCTTTTGTTTAAGAAAAACAGCTAAACGGCTTAGCTGATGCTATCTCCGGCTATAGCTGGGCTTAGCTGCATTGGAGGTCAACAGTTAAGGGGCTTAGCTGGAGATTTAAAACTTTTGCTAGTAAAGCTATTTTTTTTTTAGAAACAGCTTCATGAACAACTTTTTAGGTGGAGCTGAGTTATTTAAAAAAAATTATTTGGCAAAACAGCTTCACCAACAACTTCATTATGGATGGCAGAGAGAAATGAAGGAGAGAGCTGGAATAAGCTATTTTTTCAGCTTCATCCCACTTCATTTCCTTACGAGAGAGAAAGAAAAACAGTTTCACCTATGAAGCTATTTTAGCAATGGGTGTTTGGCAAGAAAACAGCTCACAACAGCTGTGAGCTGTAATGACAGGCCCTTAATTTTTTTTTATTAAGTGAAGCTTAAAATGAAAAGATAAAAAGATTTGGGAATCACTCCACGCGCTGCAATAGGTGTCCACACACTGCAATAGGTGGCACCGACGCCAGAAATTTGAGGAGCAAGGCAAGTACTTGCCTCAGTGCCAACTCTATATAAAAATACTACTCAAAATACTACTCATATGCCATCCAGTCATGCTGTGAGTGTCTAAGCATGAAGATAAGAACAAACTGCATCGGAGTTATTGGGTCCCACTAGTAGTGCTATCACGCATTCATGCCGTAGTCTTGGAAGAGTGATGTCCTTTTTTTAAGCAAACAAATTAGGTGAGGATTATCCGCATGAGCACTGTAGGGACCATACGCATGACATGTGGATCTCAACTAAATATGGGAGGAGAGAGAATTACAGTAAACTCATGCAGTAGCAGCACAATACGCACAAGATCCGTGTAGAATGGTCCATACCCCATTTTTTTTCCTTTTTAACAGTGTAGGACCTATTATTTTTTAAGGACTATTTCATTCACATGCCGCTCCTAAATTTGTCTAGAGTTCTCCTATAACTCCTGATAGGATTTCCATTTCTGACACCCTAAACTTATATTATTGTACCAACACTACGGGAGGCCGCGGCTTTGCCGAGTGTTTTTACACTCGGCAAAGAGCCCTTTGCATTTGGCAAAGGCTTTGCCGAGTGTAGCACTCGGCAAATTCCGCTCGCAAAATTTTTTCTCAAAAAGAGTCTTTGTCGAGTGCTTTTATCGGGCACTCGACAAAATATAAAAAAAAAAAAATTTACCGAGTGCTTGGGTGACACTCGGCAAATTTTTTTTTAAATTACTTTGCTGAGTGCCCCAGCCCAGGCACTCGGCAAAGTTTTTTTTTTAAAAAAAGTACTTTGCCGAGTGCCTCTACCCAGGCACTCGGCAAAGTTTTTTTTTTTAAATTACTTTGCCGAGTGCCCTTGCCACTCGACAAAGTTTTTTTTTTTTTTAATAATTTCTTTGCCGAGTGCCCCTGTTTAGGCACTCGGCAAAGAATTTCTGAATTTTTTTAAAAAAAATACTTTGCCGAGTGCCGCGGCGAGCCACTCGGCAAAGAAATTTTATATTTTTTTGAAAAATCTTTGTCGAGTGCCTTGCCCATGGCACTAGGCAAAGACCCCGAGAATTGCAATTTTTTTTACATTCCATTGTAACAGACAATATATATATACATCAATCATCACATCTATATCAACAACATGCATTATATATCACAAGCACACGCATATTTAATAAATTCATCGAAAATCCATCACAAAAGCACCAAAGTTCAATATCACAAGTTTATTATTACAAGTTCAACATCACTGTGTCATGCCGAGCCACTTTGTGAAGTTCTCAAACTCGGTGTAGTCACTGTCTGAGATCATGGTCTTGTACCATGCCTTGCCCGCAGCCTTGACCTTGGCAGCCTCCTCCTACAACAAACCAACATGTAATGTTAGGTACATGGTTATCAACAAAAACAAATGATGTTTCTGATATATACAGAGTGAATCAACAGAGATAGGATCAGTCATGTCTTTTCAAGTGCTGACTGAAACAAATAATCTGAATTCTGAACAAGACTGACCATACACAAATATAGGACTATGCAGTCAAACAAATTTGGCCAGATGGCACTAGGATGTGGGGTATTTCAGGAAATTTGGGGAATAATTTAAACCATCATATAGCATTCATTGTAATAACCAACATTCCAAATGATTAAAATATTAATCTCAATCACATAGTAGTGATGTCCAAATGTCACTAGTTCAAAGCAAAAACTCAGCATCTATTCTTTGACTACATGTACCACAAAATTTTCTAGCAAGCAGTATACCTAGTTTTAGGTTTGAGACCACCTATTAAAGTTACTGGCCTTTGCATTGGATGGTACAAACACGGGGGTAGGGGAGAATGAACAAGCCTCTTTTGTTAACAGGAGGGGTGCTGTGCCATTTACAGTACGCCTTACAAGAATTTTTGGCAGATGCCAATCAAAATCTTATTTGCAGGTGTGTCAACTGTAACAGTTTGAAGAAAACAAAGAGGCATCGTCCATGCAAGTGTGTCAAACGTTATTAGGAGCAGTGGCTTTGCAATTCTTTGCTTCCTTAAAGATGATCTTTTAATGTCTGGATTGAGTTGTATGTTGAAACTGGTTTCTGTTATGTCAAATGTTTGTAATAATTGGTCTGATTCCCTTCATTTGCAAGGGATAAAACTGGACGTTATCCATTATCTAAAGAAACTATTTCTTAGTTAGTATACAGGAGTGAAATGATTGTCTGGCTAACATCTCGAGTGACTCATTTTCACCTGTAGTCTAGTCCCACGCTATTGATTACTATATGACAATGGCGATATATTAAAGTAATTCTATTGGTGATTCACAGCTAGTGATTTGAAACATAATTAAGCTTACAACAATGGATAACTACTTGAAAGAGCCCATCCTTATTGTTCGGCCCAATGTTAGATTCGTAATATATATGTTTGTTGTTTCTATATCAGAGACATTGATGTCTCCTGCCCCATGATCCAGTTATCCCTCAAGAAAATTGAGTGGCCATCTTTTTCAAAATTTTGGTGGCCGAATTACTTTGTAGGTTAATGTTCATGGAGGACAAGTGAAATATCCTAGACAAGATGGAGGTGCACACACATTTTACATTCAATTGTAAATTTACTGGCAGATCACCTATATCTAACATGAATTGAGATCGAGGTATGAAAGGATTGTCCCATTTCATTTTAATGTCCCTCTATTGACAATGAAACTATTAGGTCAGATACCAGGCACATTGAAGTATATTCTGTGTCAGTAAGCTGTAAGATTTACATTGATGCATGTATTCTCTATGCCAAAATATATATAACGTTTCCATCTGCCCTGGCTAGCAATGGTTGATTTAGCATTGTGGAGACATTATTCTACAATATTAGTCAATCTGTTTCCTAGTATATATAATAAGCAGTTAAATATTTAAGTCAATTACCATTTCCATCCTTGTCTTTCTTTTACTACCAACAATTAGCAAGGGTAACTGTACTTTCAGGTAATATTAAATACAATTTAAAAGGGCAACGAACTGACTGCAACACCCATATCCGTTGAACACAAATACAATGGGTTGAATGAGATTTCTTTGGTTGAGAAATAGATAATAATCAGTACTAAACCAATTAAATGAGATTGCATTACATGTTTTGAAAACTCAGAGTAGCCATGGAGTTTTCATCAGTGCAACGTTTTCATCAGTTAAACACAACGTCTTCATTTATCAGTTCAACACAACTACAACAGGCTGATACTGAGTACTGAAGGTGACATGAAATTTGACGAAATATTTCATGAACTGGAACGAAGAGATTACTTTTCATTTTCTTTTATTTTGTTTAGCAGATAATGAAGTTCGTCTGTAAGAAGGCAAACCGTTCTGATTTAGAGATTTTAGGATTTTAATGAGCCACACTGTTGAGTATGTTCCAGCTCGTCTCCGTGTTTGATGTTTTACAATTTCATTTAAGGTTAGGTAGGTTCAATATAATATGTATTGTCTGTCAAATGAAAGGCTACTATAGTAGTTACTTTAAAAGAACTGAACTTATACTCTATGTACAATTGTACATTTGCATCTATGGCTGAGGTAACTAATGTTAACTAGTTCTTATGCCTCAGAATACACCTACTGGAATCAGGTATGATCAAATACTAAGTTTGTCCCATGCCTGCCGTACTGGAACTAGCTAGTATGCAAAAACTCATAAGCAAATTAACAGTTAGTTTTAATGGTTAAACAAGTACGTACCACACCGTTACTCTGGGAGTCTATCAAGTCGAGTTGGTCCGTCCAAGTCTTCTGGGCTGCGGCAAACTACCCCGCCGCCATCTGTTGCTCCACCGTCAACCCCATTCTGAGGATAAATGAAGTGCCAGAGTAACGGTGCCCCGAAGACGGGCGGTAGGGCGATGCCGGGGGTGTCGGTCACCATGTCGCCCTCCAGGGCCTTCACGGAGACGAGGGGGCGGCTGAAGGCGACCATGGCGACGACGGCGGCTAGGGCTGGGGGCGGGGCGCGGCCCGCGGCCCGCGTCCTTCTTCTTCCTTCTTCTTCTCCTTCTTTCTCCTTTTTCTTCCTTCTTCTTCTTCCTTCTTCTTCATTCTTCTTCTTCCTAGTACCTCCTCCTCCTTCTCCTTCCAAGACGGACGCGGGCAAGGCTGGGGAGGGGCGGGCGGCGCTGCGCGGGCAAGGCTGCGGCGGCGGGCGGGGGGCGGCGGGCGGAGAAACCATGGGCGATGAATTGTCTTGGGATGGCAACAAATTCTCTTCCTGGCATCCTTCTCCTATCATGCCGGCTCCATCGTCCGAGGGGACGGCGGTGCAAGGACCACCTTCCTGGCCTCCTTCTCCTGTCATGCCGGCTGCGTCGACGGCGCAAGGACTAGCACCTTCCTGGCCTCCTCCAGTCATGCCGGCTACGTTGTCCATGGAGATGGCTGCGCAAGGACCACCCTACAAAGTATGCGATATATGTCACAAACAACACGTGACAATAGCAGACCTGTCTTAAGTAATGGTTGCATGAAACTTACACATAATGGGATGCTAAAGGACTTATGTGGTGTGGTACATTCTTGAGCAGGAATATCTGGGGCCACTGACTCAACATCAGAGTGTACATTAAAATCCAATCGCTTTGCTATGCTCACTTCACCCTCAAGGATCATAGTGGCTACAAGATAGCATAAGCAAACGGGAGAAAATCAGTTAGCAAGACCATATTGTTGTACACACAAACATGTGTACAACATATAGGCCATCTCAACATATGCATAAAAATAATACAATTTACATCTAACTAAAGTCAACAAATAAACCAGCAATATCAAACTTTCATTTTAGTATAGATTGGACAATGAGGAAACCAAGTAGGAGAAAAAAGACTAAAAAAGGTAACTCATTGATGGAACGTGTACATGGGGCATGCTGAACTCGAATCGACATTCAGATTTGGATATAATAATAAAGAGAAGTTGAAAATTATGATATAGTATATTGCCTACATTGTATACACTCCAGACTAATCCATTGCATGCCATGAATAAACAAATAGTAGCAGAATTATTGTTTTTTCCTTGCAATACCATGAAGCCCTGATTTCTACCTGCCGACTATGCAGTAACATTTTCAGCTTAGCAAAGCGTTTAATACATGCGTAATGAAAGAGCCATGATGCTGACCCAAAATCTAGGAATTTCTACTGCACATACACCACAGAAGCTCATAAAAATCATCTACATAACAAAAATATGTCAAAGAAATGTGAGAAACAAAAAACCTGGTTCAAAGAACTGACAACAGAAAGATCATAAGTTCAGAACTCGATCAACTTCAACAATGGAGGGAAGTGGGATGAATTTGGTGTTGCTGGGCAGAGCCACGGCGGCGTCCGCGTGGGCGTCGATCGGGAAGGTGGAACCGTGCGACGCGGACGCGTGCTGGGGCAGTGGGGCGCCGAGGAGGCGAGGACGACGACCGCGCGCTGGCGGCCAGGAGCGGCACAGCGGACGTCGCGGAGCTGCTGGCGCCCGGCGACACCTTCTTGGTGGTGCGGCGGAGGTGGATGATGAGCGCCTACCGGCGATTGGCAAGAAACAATCTAATCACTTCCTTGGAACCCACTTCCTTCGTGTGAAAGAGGTCGGAAGCCTGAGGGCGATATCTTGCATCCGAAGGCAAAGGAGGCTGGCTATTAATGCCAGGCTCAGCAAACGAGCCGACGTTCTGGTGAAACCAAGCCGAGTCTCAGGAGATGGCAGCGCCGCGGCGTTTTCGCGAGCGTCTGATTCGTCGGTGTCCACGCCTGACTGAAGATTTGAAGAGCTGGTTCTCGTCCGCTTGGATGGAACACCGCCTCGTGTCCAGCCCAACAGACAGCAACTTGTTAACTAATAACTAAACAGAAATACTTTAGCAAAGAAGTAGCACTAAACAACAGTGCTTAACAGACCACAAAATCTCGATTTATAGATAGTTTACCAAAGTAAACCTCACTAGAATAATACTCCCTCTATTCAAATTATAAGACGTTTTGGCCTTCTTTTTTTAAATACATTTATTTTTTATGTATATTATTATGTCAAGATATATAGCAAAAACAATTTATCTAGAGAAACCAAACGTCTTATAATCTGAAATAGAGGGAGTAGTAGTATGTTATAGCTTTCACTTAATATACAAGCTATTGAAGTAAAGTGAGCCACATTATCAACTAACATGTATCTAGATATCCACGTCAGCGAACCCTATCATCCACTATCTTTATTTAGGGTAATAGTCTATCTCCTCATGCAAGCTAAACTACCAATATTATAGTGCCACATAAGCCATCAGATTTTCATTCCAAACAAAAAAATCGTGCACTGTCATCCGTGACTCACACAACAACACATAGGGTCCAACACGGGGCAGCTAATTAGCAAACGTTCACTCAGATGGGTTTTGAGCGAACGCTTTTCAGACACATGCAACTTTCCTTTTTTTTAAAAAAAATTTCCGCAACTTTTCTTTTTTAGAAAGTTTTCTATTTTTAGCAAAAGCTTTAGATCTATGGTTTTCTATAATTAAATTTTATAATTAATTAGAATCATTCATAACTGCAGTTTTTATGATTCAATTATAGTGGTGGACTAATTGTTTTATTATTAACTATAGTAAGAATTTCATACTTTTTTTTCACGTGCAAGCATATATGCCCGAATTTCATTAAGAGGACGGGAATGGTCAATAGACCTTACAATAAAGCCGTTAGCTGATGGTGGCGAGAGACCATCACCAAAGCAAACCGCAGCCTAACTACTGGATTACCAAAAGTCGTATTACAAGACCACCTGGTTCTGCGACCATAAGCTAATCAAGTGAGCCAACGAAGAGTACCCTGCCTCGCACCAGCATTGCCCTTCTCTGATCACCTCCTGTGCGATTGCCGCCAAGTTGGACGTGATTCGGTTGAAGACCCTATTGTTCCGCTACTTTCATATTGTCCAGGTGATGAGCAGTAGCAGGGTATCGAACGGTGGCCGGCTGTCAGCACTCAGCCGTTCTCTCTGTCTCAGCCACCAAATTCCCAAGCTTTCCTCTGTCAGCGGCGTCAAGTCCTGTAACCCCAAAGGTAGAAGCAACCTATACCAGAGTTGCCTGGTAGTCACACACCCCACGAACAAGTGATCACACGTCTCGGATGCCTGGCTGCACAGGTTGCAGTCATCTGAATCCTGTAGGCCATGCCGCAATCGTTGATTTGCAGTCCAGATCCTACGGTGAAGCACCAACCACATAAAAAACTTGACCTTCGGTGGAGCTTTAGTCTTCCCTAATTCCTTGGCACCAAGGAGCGCAGTTGATCCTTCGAAAAAAGCTCTGTAGGTCGACGACACGCTGTACTTCCCATCAGGCGACCACTTCCATGTTAATCGGTCCGGCACATGCGGATCGAGAACGACGGCACGTAGGATTGCCCACACACGCAGGTACTGAAGGAGCACCTGCACAGTGTCCGCACCATGAATTTCACGCGCCCACCGGTTCTGGAAGAGACCATCGTTCAGAGACATCTTCTTTCCTCTCGGTGAGATGTCAGCGAACAACTGAGGCGCAAATGAGCATAGCGAACCAACATTGGACCAATTGTCCGTCCACAATTTTGCTGAGGCCCCATCGCCGATGATCACAGTCATGCTGGCGTCTATCATTGCGACTACATTCTTCTCAGCACGTGCCAGCAGTGTAGCCCAGCAGCGATCAGGCTCAACTCTGCTTAGCCATTCCCAACGTAGCCTGAGGGCCGGCCCAAAGAACCTGAGATCCAAAACACCTAGGCCGCCCAGAGATGTCGGACGACAGACAGTAGTCCAGGCCAGTTTGCATTTTCCTCCTAGCGCTGTGTCAGTACCGCACCAGAGGAAAGCCCTGCGACGTCTATCAATCTGCTCAATGGCCCAGGTCGAGAGGCAACACGCAATGCTAATATGCACCGGGATCGCCGACAACGTGACCTTGGTCAGTAACACTCGTCCCGCGTGCGTGAGCAGTCCTGACTTCCAAGTTGGGATCCTCGTGGCGACTGAATCCACCAATGCTTGCTCCTCTGCACGTTTCAGCCTCTTTAGCGACAGCAAAATGCCCAGATACCTGCACAGGAACGGGGCGACAACACATGGGAAGGCCGTTTGCACATCCAACATCATTTCTTCAGTGCAGCGAATCGGCGAGGCAACACACTTATCAATGTTGGCTATTAGTCTAGACGCCCCCGCAAATAGCAGCAGAATCTGCTGAAGACAGGTGAGGTCCTCAGCAGCCGGCGTGACAAAGACAACTAAATCATCCGCGTAGAGCGAGGCCCTATGCTTGATGGATCTTCCTGGCAGTGGAGCGAACGTGCGGAGACGATCAGCCTCCCGAATCATGGATCATCCGGACTCCCGGCCGAAGCTCTCGGCAAAGACGAGTTGATGCTCGGCAAACTATTTGCCGAGAGCAGCTCTCGGCAAAGAGCCGTCGGCAAAACATCTACCGGCAAAGGATTCTTTGCCGAGAGCCCCTCTCGGCAAAATATTTACCGAGAGTAATGTCAAGGCTCTCAGCAAACTCTACCTCTCGGCAAACTGGCGCGCCCTAGTAACGGCCAACCGACCGCTAACGGTGTGACAGCTTCTTTACCGAGAGCGACCGTCGGCAAAGAACTTCTTTGCCGAGAGCGACCGTCGGCAAAGAATTATTAAAAAAAAGATTTGCGGTCGAGGTGGTTTAAAAAAAAAAAGGTTTGCCGAGAGCCGACCACCAAGCTCTCGGCAAAGAGGCAGATTTGCCGAGAGCTAGGCTCTTGGCAAAGAGGAAGATTTGTCGAGAGCCCTACTCTCGACAAAGAGTCCAGAGAGCATTTTTTTATATTTCCAGCTTCAACAACACATATTTCACAAATATAACACATCATCCACATCACATATATCACAAATATGTCATCCACATCACATGTCTCACATTATAATCCATCTAAACATCTCAAATCCAACAACACATGTCCATCTCAAAGTGCTAACTTCATCTCACACAAGTTCATGTCACAAAGTGCTAATACATGATGAAGAACAACAAGCTCACTCCCAAGGCTCCCACCCTCCCGACGGCGGCTGCTGCTGTGGCGGAAGGTGTGGATACGGCTGGTACCCCGAGCCTCCCGACGGCTGCTGATGCGGCGGAAGTTGTGGATACGGTTGGTGCCACGACCCTCCCGACGACGGCTGCTCAGGCACATCATTCGAACCCGCCGATTGATTCTGCACAAAGGAGAAGAAAAATTAGTAATTATAGTAATACTAAGGCATATAATTGTAATCTAAGCGTAGACAAGTCAAAATTTGCAGAACTAGGTATAAAATTGTAATCTAAGCCTAGACACATCAAAATTTCGGTAGCACCTCCCCTGCACGGTGGGGTTTCTAAAACCTGCAAGAAAACCAAAGGCACGATGGCCGCCCACCACATATCAATGGCACGATGGCCGGCACATATATATCAACAGCACGAAGGCCTCCCATTACATCTCAACGGCACGATGGCCGACATGCACAGTAAAGAGCTTTTGTTAGAGAAGTTGAACTCACGTATGAGTAAGGTGGGTATGGGTAAGGCGGTGGAGGAGCGAACAGCTCTAGTGGCGCCGGAC